AGAGAGACAGAGAGACAGAGAGACAGAGAGAAATTTCAAAGAAAATGAAACGCAAGAAAGCAAAACACAGAGTTTTGGTGCGACACCAATGCTACATACTGTCTCTCCATGCCGGCGATTTCCTGGTTGTCTTCCTTCACCTGGAAAACAGAACTGTAGCTTAAATGGCTTCTTTACAAACCCAAACTCTGCCTGTACCAAGACAACCTCTGCTGTCAGTCTGTGCAGATGAAATAGTTCATATGATCTCAGTTCATTAAAACATTGCTGCTGCCTTTGAAGCATTGCTGCAGCTAGCTGAAGCTAACCTGTTTGAAGAGCTGCTCTCTCTCCTCCTGTGGGGAGCCCAGGCTCTTGTGCTCAGCCTCCATGGCGTCACGCTTGGCCTCCAGCGCTGACAGAGTCTCGTGGAGACGAACCACTTCCTGCTTTAAGTGTGAGGTGGACAGCTCCTGCACAGAGGACAATGGAAGGTTGAACTATTCATGCTGATGGTAAGTGGTTAAGTGGACTGCGTCTACATAGCAGACAAAGTGCGTTACAACTTGTCTCTCTTCCACCCATTCACACAAACATTCATACATCGATGACCAGTCATCGTCAGGACTAAATAACACTAGCAGTACAAATAAACTATTTACTTTATCAAATGAAAAGAAATCATCAAGGCCACTGTTTTTCTTTTAAAATATGACTACTACTGGAGAAGGCATCATTCCAATTGGTGGCTGTGTTTTAAGTCAGTAAACAGTAAAAGCACCTGAATAAAATAAGGATGAAGACTCAGATAAATCACAGACTATTCCTTTAATTGTGAATTCAAGCGGCCAATGTAGTCCTCATGTAGATATGATGGGCTCATTCTAGGGCAACGGATCCTTAAAGGATGACCTATGACCTTCAAATGTCTCTGTTTTGTCCAGCCTGCCACAACTGTATGTGATCTAAACTAAACCTGGCTGTAATCTCTATAGCACCACACCTCTGACCTTATGTAAACTTCATATGTGGAGCTTCAATTAGTTAGTTAGTTATTTGTTAATCCGTCCATCTAGGTCCAGGTCGTGTTTAAGGATTCATTAATGACATCGTTAGGAATGATAGTGAGGTACTGCCACCTGTGCAACAGGTATTACATTACAGTCTTCGTGGTATCAAATGCATATTAAATGTCTTAAACTTAAGTTGGTGAACCCTCATTGCATACAGTAACCCTGCCTTGATCATCCCCCATCTGTTTGATCCAACTCACAGCGTCGTAGTCCTCCTTCCTGGTCATCAGAATGTCCAGCTCCTCCTGGAGAACAGCTAGCTCCTACCAAAAGAGAAAGGAGGCAAGGAGGCAAGGAGAAGATGAAGGACATTAGGTACATCTATTCCACATGGTGGAGAAAATAACAACAGTGTTAAACCACAGCATGAGTAATATTAACCAATCGTCACTGCAGCACCATGGGTTAGGGTTCTACCACCATCAAACCAACCCGACCATGGCAGAACCATGCAACCGTTACACTGATTCTTCATCTATATGAGGAGAAGACAATATTACGCTAGAACTACATTCTTACCTGTAGCAGCTCCTCATTGGCTGTTGTCATGGTGAAATACTTCTCTTGCTTCACGGCCGGCATCGACTGGACGACCTCGTCAGCGACGCGCCTCTCCCTCCGGATCTCCTCTTCGATCGCCCGCATAGCCTCCTCTCTCCTGCACAACAAACAGGGTGGAAGAGTTCGTTGTTTAACTTTATTGAGACAACAGCATGGGGGGGGGGGCATTCAAGCACAGAGAGTGAGAGTAAGAATAAAGAAAGGATGAGATAAAGAAAGGGAGGGAGAGATGCCAGATAGATGGTAAATGAATATTTAGTATATCACTGCTTCCTTTCTGTTGTCCTCACTTCCTTTCCTTAAGTCCCTCTTACTTTCTTTCAAAGGACACTCCTATCTTCTCTCCCCCGACTACTTTCCTTCTCTCTTCTCCTTCACCTAATTCAAACCCCCTTTACATCCTTCTTCTTTGCTTCCTTTACTCTGTTCCTTCAACCTTTAATAACTTTTACATTTATTTAATACTTTAATTGTCAATAGCCATGAATCCTATTCATTCATTCGCTGTATTATCTAATTATTTAGATGTCCAACAAGGCTTAAATATACCTCTGACCAAAGGAGGAAAGGAGGCGTGACTTCATCAAACAGAACCGATGCGTGTCAGCATACAGGTTTTACAACAGGGAACAAAGTTCATTTGTTGTGCTGGCTGCATCACAGTGACAGGTGAATCCAAGTCTATCTACCTGCCCCTGGAACAACAGGTAAGTGTCTTTGGTTGTTATTCAGTAAAATAAAATAGTGACAGAATACACTTGGAGCCTGGGACGACAAATCTTCTGTTAAAGAAGCAACAGTCAGGACAGCGATGGACGTTTCACTGCATGCAGGTTAAAGGTTATTCAGCTGACAAAGGTGTGCTTGTTCTTCGCTGAATTTACATTTCAAGAAGTTCAAGGTGTTTGCTCTCTCAGGGAAATAAGAGACTCCAGTCGACTTAATTGAGTCCTTTTCATCAGAGATTATACGTATGCTGTACTCTGATCTCAAGTTTTACACTCAAACACGTCAGCAGATTTGTAACTCCAATATATGTTTATATGTGGTAATGAAAACCTCGTGTCTGGGTCAAAGTTTGATTCAGGTGTTGACACTGTTCTGTGCAACATCCGGTCTCAGGTATCCAAGTTCACGTGAGAGCTTTTCTACTAATGTGAGAGTACAGGAGAATGTATAAGTTACAAGTTAATAGATAAAGAAGGTTGCAGGACTTCAACAGTATGTCATTTCCACAAGGATGTATTGAAAGAGCACTTTAAAAAAAAGGTACAATGTGTAAGATGTGGCCAGAATTATAGTTTAAAACATTATCAACAGAATGTGAAGAGGTCACAATGTTAATGTTATGTCCCAGACGTCCATGCATTCTGTTGCAGAGATATAATTAGCATGCTATCCATCCAGCCCCAACCCGTCCTATCTTGGTAAACAGCCGGTGCCTTAGAGGCGATAGAGTCTCTGTAGAGTCCGGTCTGTCCTCAGTCCAACATGAGAGGACGAAGGAGTAGAGCTTCCCCGAGGGACGTAATACATCCATGGTCTGTGTGCGTTTTTATTGGATTAAATCCCAAAAAAAACGAGAAAACAAAGTACATTCTCTCCTCGCCCTCCCTGCAGCCGGGAGTATGGCCTGTCAGCTCCGGGAGACCCTGTACACAGCTAGCTCAAATTCAGCCAGTGCAAACCCCAGCAGCAGGGGGTCTGATCTCAGGGGGCCACCCTGACTCCCCCAGCCGGATCAGAAAATGTTGTGCTGCTGTCGTTACACAGATTAGACACAGCTGCCCGCTATGTGGCTACTGGTGCTGACATTTGGGCTGACTGAATCCGCTGTCCTGCGGCCGCTGACTCGGCCTCTCACTCCCAGAGCCACCGAGGGCCGACTGCTCTCCTCCTGGTCACCCAGAGCTGAACTCGCCCAGAGCTGAACTCAAAAGTGATCATGGAGGCAAACTCAACGTCTGTAATGAAAGGAAGGTTGATTGTAATGATTACAGGCTGCTGGTCAGAGCTAAGATTGTTTGGGCAAACAGACTGAAGGTCGCTCAGCATCCAATTCATAAACGTATTGATTACCCAGAGTGCTTTCTGTTATTTCAGGGTGGGATAATGGACGGGTGGCGGCAACCTCTTCTACTGCTGTGGTTGACTTCAGTGGTAGCAACGACTATACTGGGAAGTAATGCTGAGGTTGTGGAAGAGGAGGCACTGGTAGGACATCTTCTATTTTATTTTTGTTAAGCTAGCACAGGAAATACATGTTTTTGTTGAAACTCAGCCAGAGCGATGATGGTTCATCTGTTGTAATAACTGTCCATCAGCAGGTAAAGAACTTGACCGACAAGCTTTTGCGAGTCATTCCTCACAGATGCAACGGCTCCTCTGTTACTGAACTGGTGATTGAGGGGAGCATGATTACTCTGAATGAGACCGACAGACTAGCCCTGGCTAGCTATCCCAGACTGGAAGAACTCCACCTGGATGGTAACCTGGTGACCAATATACCAGCCAAGTACTTCTCTGTGGTACCACACCTCAGAGCGCTGTCTCTGTCCGGGAACAAAATCAGCAGGTAAATAAAGCTTTCCATTCTACATACTTATTTTAACACGTTTTGAACACACTGTAAAGGTTGTTAGGCTAAGAAGTGAGTGCTGCCCCTTTGCTGCTCCAGACGTTTGAAAATCAGGCTGAATGTTTGTTACTGATTAGCCAAGAGGGTGACTGCATCACTGGTAAAAGTATGACTGTGACAGCATGTGTACTTCCACTGCTCCAATAACTGCTGCATTTATAACTGATGCTTCTACTGGGTGTTACTGCAGCCTGGACCCAGAGTCTTTCTCTGGCCTAGATGTCCTGCGCGAACTGGACCTGTCCCACAACCTGCTGACAAGTCTCCATACACAGCTATTCAGACAGCTGACTAATCTGCAGGTAAACCCCTTTGGAATATTCTGGAGCCAAGCATTTGCCTCTTTCCACGTTATTATTAGTCCATTAACCTAACCCGGTCTGGTCTCATTAGGTGCTGAAACTACACGGTAACCCCTGGAACTGCTGCTGTCCGCTGCTGAGCAGCATTGCAGAGGTCAAAGCAGCCGGACTTACCGTTGGTAAACATGTCCTTTCTGCAATTTGAAGGTTTCAGTGTTATAGCTCAGCCACTCTAGTTCAGATGGCATACTTATATTTAGGGTCTGATCTGAGAACATTGATCTCCTCAACACCTTAACAAAGCCTATTTCAGTGTTTCCCAACTTATTAAACTGATTTCATGTATTAGAGACGATGGTTCAGATAATACATGTACTACAATCATCATAGAAGGTGGAACAAGACTTCCATATTGTACCTTGTTCTGCTGCAGCCTTTATGTTCATCCAACGGCATTCAAATCAGACTTCTGCTGTTTAGACTGCTACGGAAATGTCAGTGGATCCAAACTAGTGATACACACCTTTTCCACTAAATTAGTGCATACATGCAGGTTTCTTTAAACGCGGCTTAACCCTCTAAAAATAGATGATAGACTACTTTCCCATGGCCAGTAGACGAGTAACCTTTCTGGGGTTTTTTCTGGTGTTTGATGTTCTGCGTCACGAACGTGCCGGACAAAGACATGGCTGGTAAACAGTAGAAAGTAGCATGGAAGCCAGTGAGAATGCTCCAATGTTGTGGCTGAGATGACGAGTTGCAGAAGTCAGCAAACATTTCTGCAGGAAAAGTCACGGGAAAAAAAGCATGTCAACCCGGGTGTCATGTTTCCATCACTGCTGTTTGAAGATGGAGCTGATAAATACCTGTAACTACTGCGGTCACTTGTCCCAGGAATAAATGCACATGTTAACCTTTCTAACTATAGACAATAAGCCAGATGTTGTCCAGTGGGAAAGGGGCCATTGTGACATTTACATCAAAGTGACCAGGGCGATTATTCAAATGAATACATTGAAATCGCTGAAGAGATCAATGCAAAGGGCTGCATGCTTGAAAGGGGCTTAAGTGAATGCTCATTTATGACATTACTTTTATGTGTGTGGCTCTACAGGAGGGAAACAAATCACCTGCGCTTCCCCAGAAAATCAGGCTGGCAGAGATGTTTTGCAGGCTGCAGCGATGTGTTACCCATCACCACCATCCAGCCTCACTACAGACCCACAGGAACCTGTCAACTCTCAAAACTCTTCAAGCCAGAAACTCAACATCAACAAAGGTATGACTAAGAGAGATGTGGGTTATTTGACCTGTTTCCTATTCTTTAACATCTCTTCTGTGTGGCTGTACATAACAAGCTAAACAGACTGATCTCCCCTCCCTGTCTCCATCCTTCAAACCTAATTAGACCAGACACCTGTGCTCGGCAACACGTGGAAGTTCGCGGGATGTGTTGCAGCCCTGGCGATGTGCACCTCCGTGCTCATTCTTTGTGCCATAAAGGGGCCTTCCTTGTACAAGCTCTTCCACAACTACCGTCATCGGCGGCTGCGCCAAGAGGAGGAGGACATTGTGTCAACAGTCTTCTCAGAGACAGGGAGACACGTGAACCATCAGACATTCACCTTCAAACAAGAGAATGGGCAGATAGAGGAGGAGGAGGATGGGTATTTTGAGGACCCATACATCAAGAGTGAAGAGTGACGAGTGACATGCAGGAGGGGAGACATCAGCAGCTGGTAAACCAGTGACAAGACGAGGAGGCAATCATCACAAAAAGGAAAATATGGCACTTGTCTACTCAAAAAAAAAAAAATTTGTTCTAGAAGAATAGTTCTTAGATGGAATATGTTCAGTGTACATCGTACAAGGTGGATCATTTGAGATCTAAATAAAATTTAACTATGTATTATCATTCTAGGGCTCTGTGGCTCGTACTGTAAGAGGGTTGTACTACAACTATAACATCTGAGCTGTTGCTCAACTAAAGCTTTGTACCATCGCTTGCTTGGCTCTACAGCATGAGCTTCAGCGGAGCTCAGAGCATGAACGGAGGCGTTTATACTCTACGTGCTGCATTACTCTCCCAAACACCAGAGAGCTTACAAACAAAATGAACTGTGAGGAATCAGAGACATCGAGTGTAACTCATAGACACACACACAGACTGTAGGTGTGTCCGGCAAAAAACATAAACTAACCTCACAGTGACGAGGAGGGATTGTAATTATATGTAAACTCATATTCATGTTCTACTTTATTACCTTTGTACAAGTCCTGTAAAGACACGAGTCAAGTATTAAAAGCATGAGAAAGAAATAAAGGCTGAATATCCTGTAAACTGTTTGATTTGACTGCAAAATATTTACTCTATTTACTGAAGTCTAGGTTGACTTAAGGTATCACTCACCTGGTGCTTATACCTTCATTAGCTCCTGGGCCTAACGTTAGCTCCCACACTTTCTTCTGCTTCAGTCGGTTTGTACAATGTGACGTCATTTTGAAGCTACTCATCATCTTTAAAACTGCACTAAAACCAATTATAGATTACCATATGAGATGGTTGACTTGTGAAACATTCTGCAGATTAAATCGTTGTCCAGCTGTGAACTGCAGCTAACATTGATGAACCACATGACCACGACATCAAGACAACAAATACATTTCCTCAATCGATCATTGATGACACTAACTGATAAAGCACGACAAGATACCTAAATACAAAAAGCATTTCAAGCTTTCCTCTATTACCATTTCAATTTAAAGAATACTGTGCAATGACTATAGTTTAAACGTCGACCAAATACTTACTCTCTCCTCTCAGTGAAGATGCTATCAATGCTCTCAGCCTCGCTGTCATTGTGGGCCTTCAACTGGGAGGGCAGAGAGGAAGGAAAACGACAGGAATCAACGGGCATCTTCATTAGCTGACTTCATCTCATCTAAGACTTGACCTCTCATAGAGCAGGAGGTGTCAGAATAGTTACCACATTGCTTACATGGTACACTTACAATGTTGTAGTCATTGATCATTTCCTCCATCTCTGTGTTGGTGTTGAGCTTGTCCACCAGCTGGAAACACAAACAGAACATGTTCAAACAATTAAGCTGCATATCAGTGGGATTCATGGAGATAGAGCTGGCACAGTCAACTGTCAACCTGTCAACACTTTTTAGACACCTTGTGTTAAACCAGAAAATGGAATTACATATCTGATATTCATATGAGGTTCTATTGATCTAATGTACATATATATATATACATACACACACATACATACACACACATATATACACACACACA